TCTGTAAGCCTTCACCTGAAGTACAATTAAAAAGAAAAAAAAGTTAAGTGGTGGTTAAGTTGTGGTGGTAGAAATTCACTTAAAGACTCAAGGGAAATCATTGAGAACTTGAGGAATCAAAAAGACTTTATGGAAGAAATGCCCTAAATAGGGATGTTTGGCATAGAAATAGAAAAATTAAACCAGCAAGGGTGGATTGGAAAGATGAGAGTCTATATTTAAGGATAAGTTAGGAGGCTGTTGTTATTCTAAGGAGGAGCCCTGGTGGAACAGTGGTTAAGCGCCTGGTTGCTAACTGAAAGGTTGGTGGTTTGAATCCACCAGCTGCTCCACGGGAGAAAGATGTGGTGGTCTGCCATAAAGATTACAGCCTTGGAAACCCTGTGGGGTAGTTCTACTCTGTCTTCGACTGGACGGCAGTAGGTTTGGTTTTTGATTTTTTTTTTTTTTTTTTAAATCTAAGTGAGTGTTGAGGCCTGGATTAGTCTGGTGGGAGTAAGAAGTGATTTAATAAATAGACAAATTTGAAAAATTAATCAAGTATCTTAGTTTCTTAGTGCTGCTATAACAGAAATACCACAGGTGGGTGGCCTTAATGAATAGATACTTATTTTCTCACAGTTCAGGAGGCTAGAAGTCTGAATTCAGGGCATTGGCTCTAGGAAAAGGCTTTTTCTCTCTGTCAGCTCTAGGGGAAGGTCATTGTCTCTTTTCAGCTTCTGTTTCTTGGTTCTTTGGTGATTTTCATGTGCATGGCATCTGTCTTCCCCATCTTTGTTTTGTTGTGTCTTTGCCTGTCTGCCCTTTTTATATATCAAAAATGATTGGCTTAACACACATCATATATGCATATGGCCTCATTAGCATAGCAAAAAAAAACCTATTCCCAAATGGGATTACATCCATGGGTATAGGGGTTAGGATTTACAACACATTTTCTGGAGACAAAATTCAATCTATTTTTAACACCAGGTGTAATGATAATATTGGGTATGAGGAATGAGGGAAAGGAGATGACTGAGGTTTCACTTATACAGTTTATATGTAAAATAAACATGGAGTAATTTTTAAAACTAAAAATGGTGGATTTCTCTGTCAGAGGCAGTATAAATAGTGAGTGCTGTTTTTTAAATTGAGATAGATTAAGGTGCTCTACATTTTCTTTTCCCAAGGCTCTCTTTTAATTTTAAATCAAATTGTTGTTCTTTCTCTACATTCAAAAGAATAGTTTTAAATTGGTATTGCTTAGTATATTTCAAAAAATATGATAAAAGTTCATTTGCATCTTCCTTTTGACCATTTGACTGCTATTGTTGAGGTAGCTGATGTGTAACGTTAAATACCCTGTGTATCAGTCAGGGTTCAGTTGCAAATAACAGAATCCATTCTAGTTATATTAGGCAGGAAGAGATTTAATTTAGCACAGGGAGTTAGGTGCCTACAAAATCATTGGACACGCTGGAGAAGCAGGCTTAAGCTGGGCTTCTGATAATGAGTCCCAAAACAACACTGCAGAACTGGCCGCCAGAGGAACCTGTTAAAATGAAGAAGCAGAAATGGGAAACTTCTGTCCTAACTGCTAGTGCCAGAATCTGATCACCTGAGGCAGAAGTCTGGAAATTGAGAAGCTGTCACCACAATTGTTGTCTCAAGAACTACAGAGCTATGCAGTAGCTTCTAGATCTGCACCAGCTTCTGCTGGGTATTTTGTGTGCCACATCTCTTTCCAGTTAACTCAGTTTCACATTTAAAACTCATGTAAGTCAGTGATTTGTGGAACCTCAGCCTCAAGGACGTTTGGAAAATACAGTTTTTAGCTTTCCAATGCCTGCATTGCGTTAAGACACGTGAGAAAGAGGTTCAAACAATTGAGAGAGCCAATCTACTATTATAGATTATAAACAGATTATTTTTTTAATGACTTTTAACGGTAATTTTGGTTTGTTGTTTTTCATGAAGCTAACATGACTATATAAGCAGAGGAGAAATTTTCTAAGGAAATGAGCAGATTATTTACTCTTCAGTGTTTAAGATGAAAAATATTGTATAGAAAAATAGATTGGCTCATTGTTGCTTTTGATTCCTCTTGTGTTGTACAGGTATGTACTATACTCCACCACCACAATGTGTGTCCCGCTTTGTCCGGCCTCCACCATCTGCTCCTGAACCTGGCCCTCCGTACTTGGATCATTATCCACCTTACCTCCAAGATCGTGTAGTAAACTCCCAGTATGGCACACAGCCACAGCAGTACCCACCTATGTACCCACCTCACTATGATGGCCGTCGGATATACCCTGCTCAGTCTTATACGAGAGAGGAGATGTTTCGAGAAAGCCCTATACCCATTGAGATTCCGCCTGCAGCAGTGCCATCTTATGTTCCAGAATCCAGAGAAAGATACCAGCAGATGGAGGGTTACTATCCGGTGGCTCCCCATCCAACTCAGATCAGACCTTCGTACCTCAGAGTATGCTGTGTTTATTTTTCTTATTACATAGACTTAATTTAATTATCTTTTACAGTGGTTCAGTATTTTTTTTTTGCCATTGTAATAACGCTTTGAGCAATTCCTTTTTATACGAATGTTTCTTTCTGGTTTTTCATCTTTCTGTAATTTGTGTAGGTTATACTTTTTTGAAAAACTATTAAAGGAACAAAACCTTCTTCCTCCCCTACTAACCTTTCTTAGTTTCTTAACTTTGGTTGGTTTTATTAACATTTCTAGATCTATTGGAAGTGCAAGATCCCTGGCCAAGAAAAACCTAAATTTAGCGCTTTGCGAGTTTTTTGGGGTTTTATGTTTGTTTTGTCCTGTTAATTCTTGGTATCCCTATATGTTGATCTACTTATTTAAAATATGTGCTAAATGAATTAATGTGTTCTGAAACTATTTTTTAATTTTAACTAATCTTTCCATTTTCAGGAGCCTCCTTACAGCCGTCTTCCACCTCCTCCCCAGCCCCATCCTAGTTTAGATGAGCTACATCGCCGAAGAAAGGAAATAATGGCCCAGCTGGAGGAAAGAAAGGTCATCTCTCCACCTCCTTTTGCACCTTCACCAACATTGCCTCCTACCTTCCACCAAGAGGAAGTAAGCACATTATTTTAGTCCCATTTATCAAATTTTTGCCTTTATCATTATTTTCTTCTGTGTGCAGGTTTGCCTATTCCCAAGATTATTAAGATATTTTACTATGTTTTCTTCTAAAAAGCTTACTTTATTTCACATTTAGATCTATAATCCATCTAGAAATGATTTTTGTATATAGGTAGTCCCCGACTTACAGCAGGATTCCGTTCTGACAACTCTCTTGTAAGCTGGTTCTGACCTAAGTCAAATACCTTTTTTTTTCCTAGTATATTGCCTTTTATTATCAGTATCTTTATAAATCCAATGTTTATTTGTCTTTAGTGGTTGAAAACATTACGTATAAACTTACAGCTATATTTTAATACATACATACATAACATCAAAAACTACACAAATCATAAAAATTTATTCTGGCAATGAAGAAGAGTTGGGCAGTAGTGGCATTTTGTCATTTACAGTAATAACTTCACTTGTGGAAGGTTCTGGATCATCTGGATTATCCTTGGGAAAGGGGATGGCATTTCTAGTCAGAAAATTAATGAGAGTTGTCTGTATGGTCCTTTTTCCTTTTGTCTGCATGTATTTCGTGGTAACATCTCACTGCTTCCCGCATCTGCGTATCAACTTTAGCAAGGCAATCAGCGTTTAGGTCCATGTTTTCAAGCAGCTGAAGCCCCTGATTTAGTTTAGAAGAGTAAATCTATACAGCAGTATTTTGAATAGTAAGTCATAAAATTGAACACTGAGAATGATAACATCAGCAAATCACACACTGCGATAATGTATGTATTACATATCACTAACGATAAGAAGTACCCCAAAAAAAAAACAAAGGACAGCTGTTAAATGCAGTTCATTGTAACTCGATTATGTCATAAGTCGAGGACTGCCTATATACAGTGTTAGGCGTCAAGATCCTTTTTATTTCTTCCCTGCATAAGAATATTTCATTGATCCAGCACAGTGTAATAAAAAGGCCATTCTTTTCTCGGTGCCTTGCAGTCACTTTTGTCATAGTCAGGTGACCATATGTTTCTGGGCTCTATTTTGTTTCATTAATTTGTCTATCCTTGCACAAATACCACCTTGTCTTAATATAGTTTTATAATAAGTCTTGATACTGGTGGTGTAAATTTTCCAGTTCTGTTCTTGAACTTGAAGATTGCCTTGACTGTTCTTGTTGTTAGGTGCCATTGAGTCAGTTCAGACTCATAGTGACCCTATGTACAATAGAGTGAAACACTGCCTGGTCCTGTCCCATCCTTACAATCGTTACGCTTGAGCCCATTGTTGCAGCCACTGTGTCAGTCCATCTTGTTGAGGGACGTCCTCTCTTTTGCTGACTCTCTACTCTACCAAGCATGGTGTCCTTCTCTCCAGGGACTGATCCCTCCTGATAACATGTCCAGAATAGATGAAGTCTCACCATCCTTGCTTCTAGGGAGCATTCTGGCTATACTTCGTCCAAGACAGATTTGCCTCTTCTTCTGGCAGTCCATGGTATATTCAGTATTTTTCGCCAGCACCATAATTCAGAGGCATCAGTTCTTCTTCAGTCTTCCTTATTCATTGTCCAGCTTTTGCATGCATATGAGGTGATCGAAAACACCATGGCTTGGGTCAGGCATGCCTTAGTCCTTAAAGTGACATCTTTGCTTTTTAACACTTTAAAAAGATCTTTTGCAGCAGATTTGCCCAATGCAATAAGTCATTTGATTTCTTGACTGCTGCTTCTGTGGGCATTGATTGTAGATCCAAGTAAAATGAAATCTTTGACAACTTCAGTCTTTTCTCTGTTTATCATGATGTTGTTTATCAGTCCAGTTGTGAGGATTTTTGTTTCTTTATGTTGAGGTGTAATCCATACTGAAGCCTGCAGTCTTTGATCTTCATCAGTAAGTGCTTCAAGTCCTCTTCACTTCAGCAAGCAAGGTTATATCATCTGTATAATGTAGGTTGTTAATGAGTCTTCCTCCAGTGTTGATGCCCCGTTCTTCTTCATATAGTCCAGCTTCTCAGATTATTTGCTCAGCATACAGATTGAGTAAGTATGGTGGAAGGATACAACTTTGACGCACACCTTTCCTGACTTTAAACCACACGGTATCCCCTTGTTCTGTTTGAACAACTGCCTCTTGGTCTAAGTACAGGTTCCTTATGAGCACCATTAAGTGTTCTGGAATTCCCATTCTTCTCAGTGTTATCTATAATTTGTTATGATCCACACAGTCACATGCCTTTGCGTAGTCAGTAAAACAAAGGTAAACATCTTTCTGGTATTCTCTGCTTTCAGCCAAGATCCATCTGCAATTAGCAAGGATATCCCTTGTTCTACGCCCTTTTCTGAATGCAGCTTGAATTTCTTGCAGTTTCCTGTTGGTATATTTACTGCTGCAACCCTTTTTGAATGATCTTCAGCAGAATTTTACTTGTGTGTGATATTAATGATACTGTTCTATAATTTCCACATTCTGTTGGATCACCTTTCTTTGGAATGGGTATAAATAAAGATCTCTTCCAGTCAGTTGGTCAGGTAGCTGTCTTCCAAATTTCTTGGCATAGACGAGTGAGTACTTCCACTGCTGCATCTGTATGTTGAAACATCTCAACTGGTATTCCGTCAATTCCTGGAGCCTTGTCTTTCACCAGTGCTTTCAGTGCAGCTTGGATCTCTTCCTTGAGTACCATCGGTTCTTGATCATATGCTGCCTCCTGAAATGGTTGAATGTCAACCAGTTCTTTTTGGTACAGTGACTCTGTATGCCTTCCATCTTCTTTTGGTGCTTCCTGCATCATTTAGTATTTTCCCCTTAGAATGCTTCAATATTACAACTCGAGACTTGAATTTTTTCTTCAGTTCTTTCAGCTTGAGAAATCCTGAGCGTGTTTTTCCCTTTTGGCTTTGTAACTCCAGTTATTTTAGCCCTTTGCGTTTCCAAACATATTAGAATCAGCATGCTGATTTCCACAGAAATATCTGCTGCAGTTTTGATCAGGATTACATTGACTCAAATGTAAACTATCTAATATTTTTATATTAATTACATGTTAAAATAATATTTTAGATATATTGGGTTAAATAAAATATATTAATTTCACCAGTTTCTTTTTAATGTTACTACTAGAAATTCTTAAATTACCTGTATGGCTCACATTATATTTCTAGGGGATGGTGCTGCTTTAGATTGATTTCAGAAGTGACCTCTTTATAATATCAAATCTCCATGAACATGGTATACCCCTCCATTTATTTGTATCTTCTCTGATTTCTTTCAGTAATGTTTTATAGTTTTCAGTGTCTTGCACATCTTTCATTAAACTTATTCCTAGGTGATAGATGTTTTCAAAGCTATTTTAAATGGAATCCTCTTTGAATTTCATTTTCTACTTGTTATTAATATAGACAAATTCAGTAGGTTTTTGTGTATTGACCCTTTTATTCAGAAGCCTTGCTAGATTTCCTTATTCTAGTATGTTTTATTTTTTCCTTTTTAATCCTTATGTCTTTTCTTTTTCTTATCTTTTTGCACTGGCTAGATCCTCCAGTATAATATTAAATAGAAGTAATGATAGCAGGTATTCTTGACTCATTTTTAATCTTGGAATGGGTGGAGCTTTTAATTCACTATTGTGATGTTTGCTGTAGGGCTTTTTATAGATAATTTTTATCAGATTGATGAATTCTCCTGTAGTCATAGTTTTAGAATTTCTTTTTATAAGTGAGACATATCAAAGATTTATTTAACTCATTATGAGAGAACCAGCAGGATGATGAAACTGGTTCATAGTAGGAAGAGAAGAGACTGGCATATATTATTTAGTGAAAGGCAGGGGAAAAAAAAGAATTATGAAATAAGGTTGCTTAAAGAAACTGGTTAATATCCTACAGAGCAGTAAGCCATAATTTTTGGGTTTATCTTTGTATTTCTACACAACAGTTTTAATACTTATCATGAATGGGTATTGTCTTATTATTTTTAAGTCTCTGGAGTCTGTAGTGATGTTCCTTTTTCCATTTCCGATAGTCATAATTTAGATATTTTTTTCTTGTTCAGTCTTACTAGAGATTTGTCAAAAGGTTTTTTACAAAGCAACTTTTTGCCTTGATTTTATTTTGTTTTTTTGTTGTTGATTTTATGTCCTACCTCATTGTAGCTTATAGGGTGTATATGCTTTTAAAAAGAGGCAAATAGGTGTTCTCAGCAGGGTAGCAATTGATACTATGGAAAGAAATTATCTTGTGTCTTTTATGTGTAGAATTATGGTTCTAAACAACATTGTTAAGTGACAAATTATTAATAATAAGCAATGAAAATTGAAAAGTGGAGTGCATCACATGTAGTAAACAGTACCCTGTTAAGTCTGTAAACGTGATCTACTAAATAGAAGTTATTCATGGTATCTAGCTTTCCCATCTAAACACTTGGATGAATTTTCCATAACCATGCAAAATAGTAAAGTCATAACATCTTCTAATAATGTAAATTTACTTGTAAACTATAAACAACTTATATGATATTTTTTCAAAAACTGCATATTAGAGATATTCCAGAACCTTGTTATGCCACACTGTTTTATAAAAAATATGGAAAAAAAAATACACATTGTGAAAAGTGAGCCGACTTTGAAATCAAACAAACTTAACTTTGAGGTTCAGCTGTGCCACTTATAATATGACCTTTTGTAAGTTAGCCTTGCTGAATCCTGAGGCTCAGATTTCTCCACTTGAAAATCAAGGATAGCCTACCTCATAGTAGTGTGGTAAAAATTATGTAAGACATAAGGCAGCTGGCACATAACAGGAATTTGGTAAATAATAGCTGTTTGTATTTATTATTGTGATTTTTACTTCTAAAAATTACAATAATGCTTGGATATTTATGAATTGTATCTAGAATCATTTTAGTTACTGACGCACAAAGCTATAATGTTAAACCTCAGTTCTGATTATAAACAGCCTACTATAGTTCTAAATTCATACATATAGAAATACATAATAGAAAGTTCTCTAAAATCCCATTTCCTGTAGCCACTGTCAATTTATTTTTATTCTTTCAACTTTTTTTCTGTACATGAACTAACATATGCTTATTTTTAATAGGATCATTTAATAATAGATCTTTTGGGGTATTTTGTTTTTTGTTTTACTTAAGCAGTTATCCTGGATGTCTTTCTATGTCAGTATATACAAATTTCTCATTCTTTTTTAGCAGCTGTATAATGCATTATTATTGGCAAAAAAAAGGAGCACCCTTGTCAGTACGTCATGTCTTTAAAAGGCTAATTGCTCTACATGAAGTTTGTAAGTAGAGGATAAGTAAAAAAGGAGATGAAATTGTTTTCAGTAGTGATAGGACAAAGAAAAGAAAAGAGGATATGTAGAAGCAGAAGTTGTCGTTGAAAATTAGTGATATTGTTGAGCAGCATACCTCTGTCAGTGCAGAAAGCCAAATAATAGTGAGTCTGAAGAGAGAGGATCTTTTTACTATAGGGTAGGCAGGGATCAATTAGATAAACCAGCCGCCCCTAGGGGTATCAGTATGTCAGTAGATGTATCTTGCGGTAAAGTGAAGGGAACATTTAAAATTATAGTTCTAGGGAAGCCTAGGGGACAGTGAGTTGAAGGCAATGGTGATGGAATAATTTGGAAAAGGATAGAATAGCAGCACAACTGGAAGAATGTAATCAGTGTCACTGAATTGTACATGTAAAAATTTTTGAAATGGTGTATCTTTGGCTATGTATATTTTCACCAAAAAGAAAAAAAAAGGTCCTCCAAGGTCAAGAAGGGAGAGTGTTGACATGTTCTGGGGGTTGTTAATCAATGTCATAAAACAATGTGTGTACTGACTGTTCAATGAGAAACTATTTGTTCTGTAAACCTTTACCTAAAACACAACTAAAAAAAAAAGATTATAGTTCTTGCACTACCCCATACTTGTATAAAAATAAAAACCAAGCTAATTGTCATAGAGTCAGTTCCAACTCATGGCAACCTATGTTGTCTACCATGGACATGAGGAACATATGAAATAAAGTACATGAAAGCACTTTGGAAATTGTAAAACATATGCAAGTGTCAATGTTATGATTTTAATAAAAATATATTAGCCCTGTTGTTGTTTGGTGCCATCAAGTCAATTTTTGACTCACAGCGACCCCATGTGACAGACTAGAACTCCCCCATAGGGTTTTCTAAGCTATAATCTTTACAGAACCAGATGGCCAGGGCTTTTTCCCACAGAGCTGCTGGGTGGGTTCAAACCACCAACCTTTTGGTTAGCAGCTGAGTACTTAACCATTGCACAACCAGGGATCCTTTAGAAGAGCTATTCTGTTATTAGATAATTGCAGAACTCATTCTGAGAAAAGAAGATTAGGCTTTTTATCCTTGTTGCTTCATTGAATCAACCTAGGAGCAAGATTTATTCAAAATATGAATTATTGCTTTTAGAGATTACATTAAAGAGTTGTTGGTATTAATATACTGTATAGAATTTTTTAAATTATGTTTTAAATTATTTTCCCAAGAAATTTGCTGCTTTCTTTGTCTTATTACTAATAGACTCATTTTCAATTTTGTTTCTTCTTTTTTTTATTCTTTTTTTTTTTTTTCGATCTTTAGTTTTTGGATGAAGACTTGAAGATAGCTGGGAAATACAAAGGAAATGATTATAGCCAGTACTCTCCCTGGTCATGTGACACCATTGGCTCCTACATTGGGACCAAAGATGCAAAACCCAAAGATGTTGTGGCAGCAGGGAGTGTGGAAATGATGGTATGTGTAATAACTAAGCTATAAGTAATACAGATCGAGACAAGTCAAACAAGTAGTCACTCATTGTAGTTTAAGCACAAATAATTGAGCTTTGCTTAAAAGTTTTGCTTAAGCTTTTGCTTAAGCTTTTGCTTAAGAGTTTCAAACCACTCTATATGCCCTGCAATATAAGTGCTATTATTTTTTGTTTGTATGTTTGTTTGTTTCAGATATAGATTAAAAATCTTTTTTATATCTATCTAGATAAAGAAGAGCATTTGTTATTATTTCTGTGCAGCCAACAATTTCCCACAGTTGTTTACAGCTGCATAATATATTATGGTCAGAAAAAATTGTTAAATTATTTTTGCATAATTAAGACCTTTGATTTCTTCATCAAGTAAGTTATAACTCTTCTACAATTCTGAAGTTTTAACAACAAAAATGAATCTAGTGAATGATAATAGTACTTGAATCAGAATTGTAACTGCTTAGTTTCAAGTGAGTTGTGAGAGTCTAGAATTTATTACATTTGGCTTGTTTTGGGTTTTTTTGTTTTGTTTTATTTTTTACTTTTATTTTTGTTGTTGAGAATATACACAGCAAAACATATACTAATTCAGCAGTTTCTGCATGTACCATTTAGTGACACTGATTACATTCTTCGAGTTGTGCAACCATTCTCACCCTCGTTTTCTGAGTTGTTCCTCCCCCATTAACATAAATTCACTGCCTCCTAAGGTTCCTATCTAATCTTTCGAGTTGCTGTTATCAACTTGATCCCATATAGATATTTCTTAAAAGAGTATAATACTGAAGGCAGACATTTCTTAACTAATTAAGCTAAACTGTTGTTTGGTTTTAAGAAGACTTCAGGGGATATTTTTGGTTTAAGGTTTAAAGATTATCTCAGGACAGTAGTTTCAGGGGTTCATCCAACTTCCATGGCTCCAGAAAGTCTAGAATCCATGATCTGTTCTGCATTTGGTATCAGGGTTATATTTGCTTCACAGAATGAATTAGGGAGTATTCCTTGGCTTGTTTTGTTTTTTTAATGAAGTATTACAAAAATGATGTAATACCAGTGCACTTGGTAACCAAGTTTTAAATATATCACTATTTTATCTAAATTCTTATTTAATTTTTAAGGAAATAACACTTTATAGAGATAATTAAATCCCCTACATACACCACCTCCCTAATCTCATTTCTCTTCTTCCCTCCTGTCCTGGAGGTGACCGCTGTCCTGAATTTTGTGTTTATCATTTCTATGGATAATTTTATACTATTTCCAAACAGTGTTGTTTTCCATGTTTATAGACCTTACATAAATTACATACTTCAGTTTGCTTTTTCACTCAGCAGAGTTTTTGAGATGTATCCATATTCATACCTATAGCCCGAGTTCATTAATTTTAACTGCTTTATCAGATTCCATTGTATGAATATACCACAATGATTTATGTGTTCTCCTGTTTACGGATAGTTAGGTTATTTCCTATTTTTCACTATTATGTACAGTGCTACAGTGAACATTCTTATGTACGTCTTACATGTATTAAAATTATGCTTAGAAGTGGTATTGCTGAGTTGAAAGGTATGCCTTGACTATTTTTTTTTTAATTGTGCTTTAAATGTAAGTTAACAGAGCAAGTTAGTTTCTCATACAAAAATTTATGCACACACTGCTATGTGACCCTAGTTGTTCTCCCCATACTGTGACAGCACACTCCTCCTTTCCACCCCAGATTTCCCGTGTCCATTCAACTAGTTCCTGTCCCTTTCTGCCTTCTCATCTTGCCTCCGGACAGGAGCTGCCCATTTAGACTCATGTATCTACGTGCGCTAAGAAGCACACTCTTCATGAGTATCATTTTATATCTTATAGTCCAGTCTGTCTTTGTCTGAGGAGTTGGCCTCAGGAATGGTTTTAGTTTTGGGCCAACAGAGAGTCCGGGGGCCATGTCGTCCGGGGTCCCTCCAGTCTCAGTCAGACCATTAAGTCTGGTCTTCTTAGTAGAATTTGAGTTCTGCACCCCACTTTTCTCCTTCTCTGTCAGAGACTCTCTGTTGTGTTCCCTGTCAAGGCGGTCATTGGTGGTAGCCGGGCATTGTCTAGTTCTTCTGGTCTCAGGCTGATGGAGTCTCTGGTTTATGTGGCCCTTTTTTCTCTTGGGCTAATATTTTCCTTGGGTCTTTGGTGTTCCTCATTCTCCTTTGCTCCAGGTAGGTTGGGACCAATTGATGAATCTTGGCCGCTTGCTAGCTTTTAATACCCCCAACGCCACTCACCAAAGTGGGATACAGAACATTTTCTTAATAAACTTTGTTATGCCAGTTGACCTAGTTGTCCCCTGAAACCATACGCCTTGACTGTTATTCTTAAACCACTTGCTCTTATTAATTTTTACAATAGTTCCCCTAGGTTATTATATAGGTTTTCATCAAAAGATACATACTTGTCTGGTTGGTTAAGAGAAGACCAATTCTTAGTAATAGAAAAGAAAGACTTGCATGCTAATATCACTCTAAATGAGTGAAGTGATATCTGTACCATAAATATGACTGGATGCAGCCAAGAAGAAGAGAAAGGGATATAGAGAGGAAATGAAAATAAGACTCACTTCCTTAAATCAGTAAGAAATAAAAAAGTTTGTCAACCCAACTTGGATGTAATTTAAAATACCTCAAATGGGTGAAAGAAGTTTAAAAATATGTTCTAGTCCAGTGTTTCTCAGATGTTAACGTGCATGCAAATTACCTGGGGATTTGTTAAAATGTAGATTCTAATTTAGTAAGAATGAGATGAAGCTTGATAATCTGTATTTCTAATAAGTTCCTAGATGATGCTGATGCTGTTAGCCCTCATACTGCACTTTGAATAGCAAGGCTCTAGCAACTTCATAATTGGAGTTTCATTTCCATTTTTCTTGGTACTTATTTCTTTCTGACTGAAATCCCTTTGAAAAACCTATGTTAGCACTTTTATTATTATTATTATTGTGGTAAGTATATAGGTAACAGAACATTTGCCATTTCTGCAATCATCACATTTATAGTTCAGTGATACATTCATCGTGTTGTTCAACCATCACCATTAACCCTTCCTGAATTTTTCTAGCACTTATATTTTTAAACAATGTTTTTCAAACTAGCAAAGTTTTGAAATTGATATAGTGGGTCATAGTCAACTTTTTGTTTAATCAATCAGAGTAACAATAGAAATATAAGTGTGCATTGCATATAGTAAGGGTAAATATCATGTCATGAAATTTTATATATATATGTACCTGTATATATTTGTGTGTATATATGTACTGGGTCATGATATAAAGTATATTTCTTACTGTGGAGGAGTGGCCAGAGGTTTAAGAAAGTGTTTTATATGATAACCAAAGGCCACTAAGGATTTTAGTTTTAGACCAGTAAGAGCATTATACTCTTCTTTAACTTTATTATAGAACTAGAGGAAATTATATTAGAGATCTAAGTATGGGGTGGATTTCTCATTTTACTTTTCTTATCAGAATGTGGACAGTAAAGGAATGAGAGACCAGCGTTTGGATCTTCAGAGAAGAGCAGCAGAAACCAGTGATGATGACCTCATCCCATTTGGAGATCGACCAACAGTATCTAGGTTTGGTGCCATCTCTCGAACTTCCAAAACGATATATCAGGGTGCTGGCCCAATGCAGGCTGTGGCACCTCAGGGAGCTCCCACAAAATCTATTAACATTTCAGGTAAGAATCTCAAATATAAGCTGATCTAGAGGGCTCATATTCATGATTCCCAGCACCACCCCTACTATCAGTGCTTCAAGTAATTTTCCAAGGCAGTGCTTCTCTAACTTTTCCATGGAATTTTCTCTGTAAGAGAATAATTATCACCCGGGAATTCTAGAGGTATAAAGTAAAATTAAATATATATATACGAAGATTTCCTAAATTTCTTGGGGTTTTTTAAGAGCATCATTGTTTTTATAAAATAATGTATTCTCATTATAAAAAAAAAATCAAACAGAAGAAAAAGACTGAAGTTTCAGTGGGTTTTGGATTATGAGTACTTTAAAAGAGGATTCAAATCAGTGAATTCCATGATGCCACAATATATCATTCTCTTATAGATTATAGTCCATATGGAACCCATGGTGGCTGGGGAAGTTCCCCATATTCACCTCATCAAAACATACCTTCTCAGGGACACTTCAATGAGAGGTATAAGTCATTCTTTTACAAACCTTTAAAATTATTCAACTTCATTTATTTTTTTGTCTGTTTTTCTTGTTAATAATATTTTAATAAAATAAAACTTTAAAATTTACTCTCTCTACCAAAGGGAGAGAATGTCCATGTCAGAAGCGACCAGTCATGGAAAACCCCTTCCATCTGCTGAGAGGGAACAGCTACGACTAGAATTACAGCAACTGAACCATCAGATTAACCAACAGACCCAGCTACGTGGACTAGAGGTACTAGTCTATAGATACTTCTGAAAGATACTTTAAAAGGAGCAACTTCGAGGCAGTATGAAGACAAAATTTTAACAGTTGTTATAGGTGTCCATTCTTCAAAGAATTCAAGTACTAAGTTCAGTTCGGGGACATTAGGAAACTTTAGAATTTCTGTTACCTGAGAATAGAAATAGTAGGACTTATATTCCTTGATGTCACATTTAAATATAAAGTGTATTGTTTTTTATCAGCAGATGCTTTTAGCTTAAGAATGGTTTGTTTTGTTTTTAATTTCTCATTTCCTTTAATCCTTGTCATTTATAAATCTGAAAAGTAGAAGCTTAGAACTTTGACTTGGAAAAAAAAAAACCATAGTCCTTCTCTAATAATAATAACAACACCTTTCATTTATATAGTCCTTTAGAGTTTATAAATTACTATCTCATGTCTTATTTGACCCTCACAATGTCCCTGAGAGGTAGGTTAGGCAAGTGGTATTATCCTCATTTTATAGATGGCTCCCACTTAAGAAAACAAAGAATTTTTAAAACCCCTTAAGTACTACACAAGGAGGATTAGGTTTTGTTTAGACCAGCCTTTACATGGGGACATATTCTTTGAATATGGAAAACTAAAGACATTTTAATGATAAATACATTGTTCCTCTCTGGAGGAAAAAATAAAAAAGGTACTGTTAGAACATTAGTCTTTATCTTCCTACCAAAATCTTTAATAATAAATAAGGCACCCCTTTGGGGAAAATTTTATAATTCATCTTAGACTTTCTTATTAGGAAGACCAGTTGGAGATTGTTTTATGGAACACATGTCTGGCTTATGCTTTTACATAAGCAATAAGGTTTAGAAATACAAAATCTGTATAGTATTCATATTTTGTCTACTTTTGCCATTGCTTTTTTTACATTGGTCCAAAATTTCTTGCTGATTCCTATTGTAAAAAAAGAATATTATGTTGGATTATGCCTATCTTTAGTTCATTAACTTTTTAAACAGTCAGACTTTTTAACCCCATAAGGCATTACCCCTTATCCTGCTAATTCATGGCTTTTTGTCTTAGTTGAAGTTTCTAGATCCATTTTCTATCCCCAAAGAGTATCAGTATCATTTGGAAAGCTTGCTGCATATTTAACACTAGAGTTAGAAGTCCTTGCTATTTCTGAGGTTTTATTGAAATAAATTGTAAGATTTACTTTAAAAAAAAATTCTTGAGACAGGGAAAGAGGCATATTTATAGTTAACTTCTCTTTCAAATAAGAAAATAAAAAGAGCAATTTACGCCTAACATTAAATTACTATTCACTAAGTTTAAATCCTGTTTTTTCTTTTTTTATTCAAATAGTACTCAAATTAAGACAGTGTCTTATAGTTGCATAATTTTATTCAAAATACCTCAGTGATACGTTACTTAAATCTATGGTCTGGAATTGGGCTTGGCCATTCTGTGCATGGTGTGAAGTGTGTTGAGTTGTATATGTGCTTGGCTTTATGCATTTAGGCTGTTAGTAACAGGCTGGTGTTGCAGAGGGAGGCAAACACCCTGGCAGGCCAGCCACAGCCTCCACCACCACCTCCACCTCCAAAATGGCCTGGAATGATCTCGAGTGAGCAGTTGAGCTTGGAACTGCACCAGGTGGAAAGGGAAATTGGAAAGAGAACTCGGGAACTGAGTATGGTGAGTGTTAATGGTGGGGAAAGAGAGGGAAGATGAAATGAAAGCTTCTGTGTAACTCATGGCACTTTCATTAGAATCACCACTCCAAGGCACTCTAATGAGCGACTAATACTTGGGATAAGTCTCATGAAGATGAGCTGCCTCCCTATTTTGTCATTCCTCTCCTCAGTCCTGTTTGGTTTGAGTGCGTTCTTTGTATTAGGATTCTGCATTAGAAAAAGCTTTAGGAGCTTGCAAGCGGCCATCCAAGGCACAGCAATTGGTCTCTAGTTACCTGGAACAACAGGAAGAAGGAAAGTCAGGAATAGGAGGAGGATATGGAATGTATGGCTGATTGCCTCCATGAACAACTGCCTCCTTTGCCATGAGACCAGAAGTAGTGGATGGTGCCCGGCTGCCATTACTGAACATTTTGATCAAAGATTCCATAGAAGAATCCTGATCAAAATGGGTAAAAATGAAGAACAGAATTTCAGATTCTCATGGAGTCTAGACTTCCTGGAGCCATGCAGGGTGGATGAACCCCTGAAACTATACCCTGTGATAATCTTTGAACCTTAAACCAGAAGTGTCCCCTGAAGTCATCCTAAAACTGACCATTAGTTTAGCTTAGCTAGTTACGCTCTTTTAAGAATTATCTAGATGGGATCAAATTGACAACAGCAACTCAAAAGATTGGATGGGAACCTTAGGGGGCAGTGAGTTTATGTTAATAAGGGGGCAACAACTCAGCAGAGTGAGAACGGTTGCACAACTTGATGAATGTAATCAGTGTCACTAAATGGTACTTTTAGAAACTGTTGAATTGCTGTATGTTTTGGTGTGTATATTCTCAACAACAGCAACAAAATAAAATTTAAAGAAAAAAAAGCTTTAGCTAAAACGAGGTGGTTAATTGGAAGTTTCTGTTAAACATACTGATTAATGATTGTGGAAAGCAGAAAGGATAGTACTTATTATTTTGCTATAAGATCGTGTTATATAAAAATTTAATGCCAAATAACATTCTAGTTTTCACTGCCCTTAAGCCAGTGTGACCTGTTTATATATATATGTATATATGAGCGAGATGCAGTCTGCACATTCTTTCCTGTGGAATTGTATCCATGGATTGTGCATAGGGTTTGCTTCATAGTGCATAAACATTTCGTTTTAGTAAATTTTGAATCTTAGATAATTGAACCACTTCCCCAGATTGATGGTATTTTGACTTTTTTGTTGCAGTTGTCATGCTCTTTCTAAGCAAATAAATTGGATATTTAGTTTTCTGTTGGCTTAGTTAGCAGTTTTTCTGTGAGACTCTTCCATGTTAGCTTGAGGCAGTCTTGCTTTTGTTGTCCAGCTTGAGTAGTCAGCAAGTAGGTTGACTCTGTTGTGTTTCTGTGTATGTCTCTCCTTTTGTCTGCCTGTTTCTTTAGTCATTTTGCAAAACTAAATAACGATTTCTGGATCATCAGTTTGCTTGTATTATCTGTATTTGCTTTCTTCCATTAGCGCCATTAAATAGAAGATAACTGAATTTATTTTCTTCTCTTTCAAAGGAGAACCAGTGTTCTCTGGACATGAAAAGTAAATTGAATACCAGTAAACAAGCAGAAAATGGACAGCCAGAATCACAAAACAAGGTTCCAGCTGAGGACCTTACATTGACATTCAGGTAAACAAAAGCACATTTTATTACTGTACTACACATAAAAGAGAAATAACCATATTGTTTAGTTATGTCAGAAGTACCCTCATAAATATGATTTGATTTTTAAAATGTCATTCTGTATACATTGCAAAAAGTATTTTTAGATAAATATAGGAGTTATAAAACTCATTTCAGAACAGATGCAAGGTTGAATTACCTATTAACTACCTAACAAATGAAATTTTCTGGTTCCATTTCCTCCTCGTTTTTAAGTGTGTAGGCATTTAGCCCCTTGCTTGATTTTACAAATCCCTACTTCCACTCCCATTTTTTTTGTTTTATCCCATAGCTTCCAGTATTCTTCTATCACAATGGAAGGATAGTATCACCTATCATGAACCACCCTGCAATAAACAATTTTGTCTGTTTACACATCTTTAACTGTTTCCTTAGGATATGTTAAGGCTTTTGATGCGTAGTCCTGAGTTGTCCTCCTCATAATATACAAGAATTTCCAGTGTCCTGTTGCCTTCAGGCTTGGGTTTATGTTGCATTTAGGCTTGTGTTATCCTAGAGTCAAAGTAAGTTCTTCATACTAGTAAACCTGCTAAAGCAGGGATCAACAAACTTTTTCTTGAAGGCCAGAGAATAAACATTTTAGGGTGTGGGCCTTAAGAATCTTTATCGTAACTCTCAACTTGGCCATTACAGCGTGAAAGTGGCCATAGAAATTAGGTAAACAAATGAGTGGACTGTGTTCCAATAAAATTTTATTTACAAAAGCAAGCAGCCGGCCAGCCATAGTTTGCCAACCCCTATGCTGTAGCATGGGTATGGAGCTGTACACTGAAGTTTGGAATCCATCCATATTTTTTCATTAGTGCTAAAAGGAAGTCCTCATTGACTTTTTTCTACTAAATAATCATTTTTCTCTTTCTCTCCTTTTTTAAAATTTTGATTTTTTTTTTTTATGTGTGTTAACAGTGATGTACCAAATGGATCAGCCCTGACACAAGAGAATATCAGCCTCCTATCAAACAAGACCAGTTCCCTGAACTTATCAGAGGATCCTGAGGGAGGAGGGGATAACAATGACTCCCAGAGATCAGGAGTTACACCCAGTTCTGCTCCCTAAAATATGAAGAGTCCTACTTTTATCTTCTGCTCCTGATCAGTTTGTGGGGCCTAGGGGTAGGAGAATGGATAACTTCTAAAACTTTTCTCTAAGAGTGGTCAGAGAAATCCAGGAAAAGCACCGGAGGCAATGTGCACAAACACCACTACTAAAACAAACCCTGCACATAGTTCACATTAATGCATTTTTTAATTTAAGAAAAAGAAAATTAGCAGTATCTGCAAGCAGTTCAGATTAAATTTGTTTTTGTTCTGTGAATGAACTTTATTTTAATAACTTTGGACGCCTTGGATCCAGGGCTTTAAAAAAAAAAAAAAAAGAAGATATTATATATACACTCTGTTTGATTAATTGTATGATCTTAATGAAGTAGGTTTTTCTTGTATTTTGGTATTATTACATACCCAGTGTATAATTCCTTATCCCTAATCCTTTCCAGCCGTCACCACCCTATAAACTAAAGCAGACAAAAAGCACCAGCCTTTCTGAGAATTCTGTGGTGCTTGAGAAACAAAAGAGTCAGTCATAGACTGAATTATTGGAAAATGCGCAGCAAACTAACTTTCCCCGGAGCTATTATTTGGAAACTATACTTTTTTTGTTTTTATTTTTGTTTTTTTCCTTTCTGGGTCACTAGGTTCATGTATAGGTATGTTTTTCTTATGGCATTAAAACTTGAGGTTTTTTTGTTTTGTTCTGTTTGTTTATGAGGGTTTTATTTCTTGTTTTTATAGAGAGATGATTACCAGACAGTTCATTTTGAGACCCCTTCTTCATACCACTGATGCCTTTTCATTCTCTTAATGTAATAAGAAATTGAATTCAACATTTAGATTGTTTGATTAGGTTTAAATGGAGATTAAGGATGAGCTATTAATTTATCAGCATTGAAAATACATGTTTGATTTATTGCCTGTATTGAACTCATGGTTGGAAGTTTGGAGCTGTGTTTTCCAAACTGAAGTTTTGCAGAAATCATAGAATGTTAAAAAAAAAAAACCAGGACATCAAGCATGTTTTAAAACTGCAACAATTAATTTGAACATAAAATGAACAGAGCCACATTATTCCAATAGATGTTTTTGTTTTACCCTCAAAACCTAAAAGTATAAAATAAAATCCCTTTATACTGGAGCCCCTGGCTTTCAAAAAGATTTGCTAAATATGAACTGCCTGGGTCTTAAGGATAATTTATGGATTGATCCGTTGTTGCTGGTCAGAATCATTAGCACAAGTGTAGGTAGTATACCTAGCAGTCAGTTTTCGTGTACTTGGCTTTACAATATTGAAAAAGTTTCTTTGTGAAAATGTTGAAAAGAGCAAGGAAGAAATTTTTAAATTATTTAGTTCTGCTGCACATATTCTGATGCACATGTCTATACTGAACTAAAACCCTATAAAAGATATAGTCACCCTCTCCCATCCTTCTGTTCGCCTGATTTTTTTTATTTCCCTTTCTGGATTATGCTACTAAATCAGAAAGCACTGGTTATGTAATAAGTTACCGCACTGCTTTGGTTGGGTAAAAGGAAGAGTTTATATTTTTCTTGTTTCTTTTTTTCTTAACCCTTAATTCCTGCTGAGGTCATAACAACCTCAGTCTAAGCTCTGTATCCATCATTGTTAACTGAAACAAATGGGGGAAGGGGGCAATACAGTCCTGCCATTGCCTACCAGTAGGAGAGTCCAAACAGAACACTCTTTTGAGTAGCGATTATTTAATTTGCCCAGTCAAGGCACCGTGTTATATACTATTTCACATTGAATTTGATTATGCCCTACAGACCTGGCTGGTCAAGGATTTGATATACACATATTGGCTTGGGATTCGAGCTTTCTTTTTTATTTAAATAAAAATTTATATATATATTATATATATACAGATATACATAGCTATATCTGTATATATATTGGGTATGTTTTAAGGATTTTTCGCATGAGCGCAGCTGTTGCGATAAAATGTCTGATTGGGAGGTAGACGCAATGAATGAAGATGAGGCATTTTTTCAGTTGATATCCACATTTTCCTTTTTTTTAAACAAACTTGCTTTTTTACTTCTTCTCAAAACCCTCTTACATTTATTCTTTAAGTGCTTATTTTATATTGGGAGAAGGAGAGAAACTTTTGCGTGTCTGACAGAGTCCCAAGATTTTTCATATCTCTGCATAACCATAAAAGGCAACATTCTTGGCCTCCAACCTTCTGTAGGCAGGTTTGGGCAGATCTTATTTCTCCTTTGGACTTGTCAGATAATTCCTAAGTTTTACAAGCAGTTGGTTCACTTTGGAACTCATAAATACTCTGATATTAGAAGGAAATTTGTGGGTATTGATTTTGTTGAAGTTCAGAGTAAAAGTAAAGTTCTATTCTAAGTATCTGTTGAAACCCCTAATAGTTCAGCCTCTGTTAATTCTTGTTGTTATTCTCTTCAAATACACTCTTTCTGTGTTCACCATTTTGATTTTGTGAGCTAGGCAGGAACAGGAATTAATTTATACAGTACTCCTATTCTGAACAAATCCAGAAAAGCCACTGTTTAGACTTAAAATAGTCTCTTTCACTTTTTAAGCATTTTCATTTGAGAAAAAAATGATCTCTTAAGTTGTAGCCTGAATTGTAGCTGTACTATCCAAGGCCTCACACCCCAGAGGCAAACCAGTTGGGTAAAAGGTGGAAGAATGGTATACTGTTCCGTTGTGCCTATAACTTACTTTAAATTGATCATTGTGTCCTGCCTCTTGGAAATTTTTACACCTTTCTTAGTGCTTAACCAACAGGTTTAGGACTTCAATAAAAGCCCCAAAGTTTATGGCATTTTTCTGTTCTTTTCCTTTTCTCTGTGATACATGTTGTGATATGATGAGCCTATAAGGGTAAATGGCCAATCTGGGCATAATGGCTTTTTTGTCAAAATCTGTGAAAGGCATTGCTTTTTCTGGCCTTCTTATTTTATTTGTTCCTTTAGAAACAGTTAAGAGATAATCAGATAGATAGAAAATATAGTTTTTATGCCTTCTACTTACTAAAATATTTCTTCTGAAGATGACTTTTTCACTCAAAAAGGGAAGACTTTCATAGACATCTCAGATAAACATGAACAATTCTGAGAGGATTAAGGTAGAAGTAATAAAGCCTTGGGTTCACTCTTCTTTAGAAAACAAAAATCAGGATTTTATTGTAGCATAGAATATAAAAGTACTTCAACTTACTTTTTTTCAAAGGATCTCTGAAAAAGCTAGAAGAACTGAGAGTAACACATCTAGGTTCAATTTCCTGCTTTATACAAAGCTCTTTTGCCTTATTTATAGATATTGTCACAAGATAAGTACAATAGCTGCCCTGTCTTTGTAATTTACAGAGACTAAAATGACCAAAGATCTATTCCTTGTTACTTTTCTAATTAAAAGAAAAGCTAGTTATAGCATACGTTTCTGGTAATATTCAAATGGTAAGACACTATTCCTAATGCCAGCTACAAATATTCAGCTATTCAGAATGTGTAAAAATTATTTGGTACAGAATTAATGATGTGGTTGATTCCCTTCTCCCATCACATTTCCCTCCATTTTCCTATTCTTTCCCATTTATTTATTCTTTTGCCTAAAAGAAAATTGCTATGGTTCTCATTAGCTACTTTGAATACGTAACTCCATCAGACTTTCCATAGGCCTTCAGGGTTGAAGCTCAAAGTTTAACTCCTAAATTTTTCCGTGAATGTGTATTATTTTTTCCCCTGGAACTTTCCATCCTGCCAATTCCCCTTGACTTACCCACTGCCCTCCCCAATCTGCAACAGTGACAGTTTGCTGCTTCAAAACAGAGCATTCAAATGAATTCGCTTAGCCAATAACTTCTGTGAAGTTGCCTTTTCTAATGGTGTTATTACTCAGTGATGCACAAATGTGGTATTTGCCCTACTGGTAGGCAAACAAAGGTCTGGTTAAGAATGGTAACCTGCTGTTTTCTTTAAAGGAGAGCCAAAGACTTGTGCTTTACTCTGTTTTGGTTTTAGGGGAAGTAGTAGCCATTTTGATTGTGAAACCTTTTTAGTATTTGTGAATTGATTGTACTCTGCAAGTATATTTATCTAAAGTTAACTGTTAAAGTTAGCTAGCCTTATAAAATGTAAAAGTAATGAAAATTCATCAATTTCTCTAACCAGTGAATCTCATCTTCTACAGTATTGTGTGTAAGCAGCCTCCCCCCCCCCCTTTTTTGAGATTATCTTGTTATGATAGCATGTTCTGTATTTTTATGTTCTTTAACTTGTGCCTAAATGACAATCTACTATCACTATGATCAAGTCATGGGACTGAGTAGAAGAATTTTTGAGCATGTGACTGGTGAGAAATAGTTAACTATAGTCAGTCAGTATGTGTTCAGATGTAGCAAAAAGTTGATTGTTTTCACTAAAGAGTATTCAGTTACTTATATTCAATAGTGATGGATGGAAGTCTTACCATCTCTTTTCTACTTTTCTTTTTGCTCATTTTAAAGAATTGAGTAAAAGCTTCATTATAAAATCTTTTCTTAAAAAGTACACTTAAAAGCAACAGCCAATTTTTAAAATAAATTAATAGCCTTTCTGACAACTCCAGTGTTTACTTAGGTTTGTATCCTATAAAAGTCCAATTTGTGTTTATGTTTTAGTTGATGATACATGTCTGCAGTGTTGCAAGGTGACCTCTTCTGAAAAATCTGCCTGTCCTTTTAAATAAAAATCAGGCAGAACTATTGAACTAAAGCAGATTTGACTTTCAGCATTAGGGATTGAATGAGCAAGCAGTCTACTACTGACATCATTTTACCTGAATGCCCATTTTGCTGGTCTGCATTCATACGTTTCTACCTTGGACAGCTGATTTTTAGATCCTATTTATTTGTTGCTTCAGCTCAGCTTTGTGCAATTTTCCTGCTGAAATGGCTTATTGGGAATTGAAGGTAGATTGCAGTTAATATGAAAAAATTCTCAATTCAGCTTTTCTGAGCCACTTGAAAAAGAAATATAAGTACATTTTGCTAAAAGGTACTACTAGTAGTAGTAAAGAACTTAAGATTTGGATTTTAAGATTTCATTTCTGTAATTGCTAAAGATGTTTTCACAAGTAGTAGGTTCTGATTGATAATACTAGCTATAATGGTAACTAAGAATAGGAAACTGCCACCACCAGGAGTAAGTAATAAGTTGGAATAATAAACATGTTCCCAATAGGTGGGTTTTCAAAACTGCACTGAACGAAGTAGGTAAGGAACTCTTTGAAATCCTTTTGGGATAAAGAGACTTACCTTACCACTGGAATCCTTGTTTTCAGAGCCTCTGGATTTTCAGCTAAACACTGAATTTCTCCTAAGCTGTATCCCCGGGCAAAACATCCCTAGAGTAATAACCTTTGTTTTCACCAGAAAATAAGGCACAATAACCCAAGGGGGAGATCTTAAACCTCAAAACAAAATTGTGTCCAGAAATATGTATTTAGAAAAATAAAATCCTGTGGAATTTATATTATCTATCAGATAAGGTGACTTATGTTCTTGTATTGAGGTCTCGCTGTTTCTGGTTGGTTTTTGTTTCTTTGTTTTAAACTCCAAGTAGACAGAGCTCACAAGTCTTTGGCATCCATTCTAGGTTGTATGCTCAGAGTCATCTTATAACTGGAAACTGTCAGGTGTCCCCACCCCAACCCCAGCTGGTGTATGAAAGGGTCAAGAAAGGATGGAAACAAACTATTAGGTGGATAATTGGTTGCCTGATTTTTTTTTTTTAATTACCATTTATTAGTGGAATCTCTCCCCATTGATTGGCTGCCATTCTCACAATATCTGAACCACGCCATAAAATATTCCTCTGAAAGGCATTTTAAGCTTTTGCTCATCATTTTTATGTCCTCTTTTCAACTAAGATATTGTCTTGAAAGCTACTCTCTCCAGGTGTTCTGTTGCTTAAATTTTCATCCATACACCCCTTTCATCCTTCCTCTTCCCACCTTCTGGGAATGAAAGAAACTTGGGAGGAAAAAAATTTTTTTCCCATTTTATTCTATTGTCCATGGGCCTCATTATCTTACTTTATAATGAATCTATGACTTTTTGGAACAAGAGCAATGGAAAGGTGAATTAAGATAATGAACAAAACCTTTTGCCCACTTAAACATTTTCCAGTTTTGAGATTCCTCTTCGTGTGTGTGGTCTCTTGCCCTTGCCAGCCCTTCTCCCCCTTTTTCCTGACTATGGTCAATTTGGTCTTTAGGCTCATACCAGTCTCCCCGAGACATTCTGCAGTCATTATCACCTTTTTGGGTGGATTTTATTTTGTTCTGTTTTTTTTAAAAAAATAATTTTTTAACATTGATGCATAATTTGCTTGGGATAGAGCTTGTGTAATTTACCAATCGTATTGATTGTATGTGATTGTGCCCTGCAGAGGTATATTTAACAAGACAAATAATCTAGGTTAATAAAGGAGCCCATGAGATTTGAGTCAGGTTATAAGTAACTTCATGAAATCACTTACAGTTTTGGATAGTGAGAATTTATATCTCCTATTCTTAGAAATCAGTGCTAGACAAAATACAGTTTTTGAAAATTTTCTTGCATTCCTATTTTTATTTTTCTGTTACAGCTTCCTCCTCTTTCTTGCCTGCCTCCACCCACTTGTTCAGAAATAAAAATATTGAGCCTTGAAGTGATCGCCGATTTTCAAATTGCTGAATTTTGTGAAATTTTACCTTTTCCAAGTGTTCCCAACTTAAAAAAAAAAAAGTGAAGACAACTAGATAATGGGTTGGAATTTCACAAGCTGTGAATAATTCCTTAGCATCTGGCAAACTGTGAAATCTCATTTGAAGACTTTATCTCCTGAAAGTTCTTTTGGAATAGGAAAAAGAACCCTGTTTGAAATGGACCATTTTCCTCTTTTTTAATCTGTTTGTATTTCCAGTTTTTAAGCAGCCTTCAAAACAAGTGAGGTGAAAGAAATAGTAGTAGGAAGATGTTTAGAGCAGCGGCACCTCTGGGTCTGAATAAGTACCTATTCCACTTGTTGCAGATTTTTGAGAGGATTAGGGTCATCTTTTTCAATTTTGTATTATTAGTGTGCATGTTGTTTATATCAAAGATGCCATGTTTTGTTGAAATGCTATTTCCTTCCTTCATTATCTTGGAAACTGACTCAGCCTCATGTTGCTCCTACTTAGTGTTTAAGGCTCTTATGAGTTGCAGATAAAAGGATTTATTTTAACAAGTAGAAGGAGGTGATTCACCTTTTGGTTTGTAAATATATCAAAGTGTCTACAAGGTCTTTATCTGTTTTCTGTCAGCATTTATATTAAATGATAAATTAATAAGCAAAAACGTGCAGTCTTTTTTGTAAATGAGTCTGTGCCATCTTACTCTAATCGTGGAATTGTTTTCTTACAGCTTTTGTTGGAGTTCTTATTTAGGTGAAAAATAGAGACGTAGCTACTGTGTACAAGCAGATACGTACTTAAAGTAGCCAATTTTGTATAGACATCAGTTGAATTTTAAATACGCTACAATCTAAATTCCTTCGTTATACATTGATTGCACTTTAGCAGTGGAATGTAGTGGTTCTGAGATACTAAGGATCAGTGTTAGCGAGACTCCGTGGCTAACATCCACAGTCCTCATTGTCTTTTAGAGAGCACTGTTAAAGCATTCGGCCGCTAACCAAAAGGTCGATGGTCTGAGCCCACCAGCCACTTCACAGCAGAAGGATGTGGCAGTCTGCTTCCTTAAAGATTACAGCCTTGGAAACACTATGGCAGTTCTACTCTCTCCTTCGGGGTCTCTTGAATCTACTTGAGGGCAATGGGTATGGGTAAAATATACTTCACCTGACAACTCAAGGGCATGAAGAAGGAAAAAGGGAAGGGCAGGGGACTACTCTAGAGTAAAAGAAACTTAAAAGATACAAAAATAAAATGCAACATGTAGACTTTGTTTGGCTCCTGATTCCAACAAACCATGACCATTTTGATATAATTAGGAAAATTTGATTAAGTATCAGGTGTTAGATAAAACCAAGGAATGACATTTTTGTTCACTGCGATAAATAGCAACATGGTTATGTAATAAAATGTCCATGTTATTTAAAGATACATAACTGAAAATGGCTGGAATTCGCTTTAAAATAACTAAATATAAAAAGAATAAACACATTACTAGTGAGGATTATTTACTCCTACCAACACTTGGCAATTAGGTGTCTATTGGTACAGTACCCTCTAGGGAAGGGACCGTAATAAAGAAAATTCAGAGGGTATGAAAAATAGTAGCTACTGCAGTCATCCCTGAGGGAATATAGAGTGGGAATTCCAAAAACAGACCTTGCCGTCTTTACCACTTACCTAGGACTGCTCTGCTCAAAAGCAATAGTACTTTCTGACCCTTTGGCTGAAACCAACATAGACTAATGTGAGTTTATCACGTGTATTAGAGCTTCAACTCCAGTAACCAGCTAATCTGCAGTGATCATTTAAATGAGTAAATCCTTCTGCTTTCCAATTTGATGGCTTATTAATGGCTGCCACCCTTATTTGGAACACCCAGTACATCAAAAATACATCAATTATTCACTGAAGACCCATTATTATGCTATTAAATACTAATTTATTGCACGTTCCCCATATGGCACAACACTATAGAGGATAAAGAGAAAGTATTATCTCTACCCTAAAGGAGCTTATATTCTAATTGTGGGACTTGATATGTATAAAGCTTAAAAATAGCTAATTTACTCATCTTTGGCGGCAGTCCTTTTTGGCCACCATCCACAAGTGTAGGACTAGGCTGAATCAACTTTTCTACAGACTTCTCCATCAGGGAGTATTTCAAAACCCATTCTGGCCTACAATGTGCTAAAGGTCCTACTCTGAGCACCTGGCTTTAGTTTCTATTTGACCATCAATTTCCTAAAACAACTGCATTTCTGGTAACAATCCTAACCCTCTAAAACCCATAGCATGGTGCCAGATAACAGTTGAAACCATGACAATGGACATACTTAAAGAGAATGAAAAGAAAGCCAAGGGAGGCATGCTGAGCCTGGAAATGATTACAGTTAGAAAACAGGAGGAATCATGGCTAACACGTGTAGAGCACGTATGTGCCAGGTGCTATTTTCTAAGCATGTCCATCCTTTAAACTCATTAAATTCTGACAAGATAGAAATAGGTACCATGTTAAAAAACCATTTCACAGATAAGGAAACTTGAGTCTTCATAACTTGCATATCACCCATCTAATAAGTGCCAGGGCTGGGATTCAAACCTGGACAAAATCCATTGTCTCAACCACTACACTACTACGTCCTACCCGATTTTGTTTCAAGAAGTCTTATATTTGGCATTTAGGAGATCATTAATGATAAAAGATAATTCATTATCTAAGAGTATTGAGGATGAAACCCAGATGGCATTAGATATTGAAATAGAGGTAGAGGGGATGGTTGGGCCAGGGACTTGGGGGGGGGGGAGTCACTGTTTCTCCGTTTATTGATAAAGTTTATACCCACAGAGAACATTCCAAAATCATCAGAACCAAATGTAAATGGGGCAGGATAGCCTGGCATGCTTAGGAAGGCATTCATAGTCTGGAAAGATGAGTATACTTTGTGATGAAGTGTGGGTGGGAGGACTGAAGTTGATGGGGACTGAAGATGCTTAGAATCTGTGGAAAAGGGGAAAGGCGATACACAATATGGGGGAGGTCAGCACAACATGACCAAGGCAAAGGGAGACACAGAGGAATGCAAGAATAAAGGGCAACTATGGTAAATACTATAACATAGACAATCCTGCAGGAGTAGTATTAACAAGCAATAATTTATCTTAGTTTAGGCAGGTAGTTTCTAGAAATTTGTCCATTTCCTCTAGGTTTTCAAATTTGTTAGAGTAAAATTTTTCATAGTATTCTGTTATGATTCTTTTAATTTCATTTGGGTCTGTTGTGATACCACCCATCTCATATCTTATACAGGTTATTTGCTTCCTCTCCTGTTTTTCTTTTGTCAGTTTGGCCAGTGGTTTATCAATTTTGTTCATCTTTTCAAAGAACCAGATTTTGGTCTTGTTAACTCTTCCAATTGTTTTTCTATTCTCTATTTCATTTAATTCTGCTCTAATTATTATTTCCTTTCTTCTGGCGCCCGAGGGCTTCTTTTGCTGCTCTCTACTTCTTCCAGTTGTAGGGTTAATCTTTTGATTATGGCTGTTTCTTCTTGAATGTGTGCATTTATTGCTATAAACTGACCTCTGAGCACTGCTTTTGCTGTGTCCCAAAGGGTCTGGTAGGATGGGTTTTCATTCTCATTTGAGTCTATGAATTTCTTTATTCCATCCTTAATTTCTTCTCTAACCCAGTAGTTTCTGAGCAAGGTGTTGCTCAGTTTCCACGTGTTTGATTTTTTTTTCTTGCTTTTCTTGTTACTGATTTCTACTTTTATGGCTTTATGGTCAGAAAAGATGCTTTATAATATTTCGACGCTTTGGATTCTGTTAAGTCTTGCTTTATGGCATAGTATGTGGTTTATTCTAGAGAATGTTCCATGTGCATCAGAAAAGAAAATCTACTTGACTGCTGTTGGGTGGACTGATCGGTGTATGTCTATGAGATCAAGTTGGTTGATTTTAGCAGTTAAATCTTCCATGTCTTGGCTGAGCTTCTTTCTGGATGTTCTGTCCTTCACTGAAAGTGGTGTGTTGAAGTCCCCTACTACTATTGTGGAGCTATCTTTCTTTTCAGTGCTGTTAGAGTTTATGTATTTTGGAGCCCTGTCGTTGGGTGCATAAACATTTATTAATAGTTATGTCCTCCTGGTGTACTGACCCTTTAATCATTATATAGTGTCCTTCCTTTGTGGTGGATTTTACTTTAAAGTCTATTTTGTCAGATTAATATCGTCACTCCTGCTTTTTTGAGTGTTTGCTTGATAATATTTTTTTCCATCCTTTGAGTTTTAGTTTGTGTCTTTAAGTCTAAGGTGTGTCTCTTGTAGGCAGCATATAGATGGATCATTTTTTTTATCCAGTCTGCCACTCTCCGTCTCGTTATTGGTGCGTTTAGTCCATTTACGTTCAGCGTAATTATTGATAGGTATGAGTTTAGTGCTGTCATTTTGATGTCTTTTTTTGTGTGTTGTTCACAGTGTCTTTGTTCCACTTAATTTTCTGTGCTGAGTCATTTTTCTTTATGTGTCTTCATCTTTTTCATTGTGGTAGATTTTGTGTTTGCTGAGTCTTTATATTTTTCTAGTTTTTATTTTGACTTGTAGGATTGTTAGTTTCCTTTGTGGTTACCTTAATATTTACCTCTGTTTTTTCTAAGTTTATACCAGTCTTCTATTTCTTTATATCGCCTTGACTTCCTCTCCATATGCAAAATCTATGTCTACATTTTTTAAGTCCCTCTTTATTTTAATGTTGTCATCTTTTATATATTGACATCTGTGTCCCTATTTTCAGTGTTTTAGTTTTGATTTATTTTTGTCACTTCCCTATCTGGGTTGATATCTGGTTTGTCTGTCCTGTGTTGTTATCTGATGTTACTGGTTTTCTAACCGGAGGACTCCCTTTAGTATTTCTTGTAATTTTGGTTTGGTTTTTACAAACTCCCTAACCTTCTGTTTATCTGGAAATGCCCTAATTTTGCCATCATATTTGGGAGACAGTTTTGCTGGATATATAATTCTTGGCTGGCAGTTTTTTTCCTTCAAGG